TATCCCCATTCCAGATCCCGATCCTCGCGCCCCCCCAAACCACCATTCTGACGTCTCCATCTCGCTCTCTCGGGCGGTTACACTGAGAAAAAATGGATAGGAAAGCGTTCTTATATGACTGTTAGTTAAGATTAGCTAGCGAAATCGCTTGGTCTGTACACAGATAAAAAATATTGAAATCCAGTTGATATTCACAAGTTTAATTGATGTTTTTATGAAAAATGTTAGATTGATATTGAAAATTGCAATTTTTTTTTTGGAAATACTATTAAATAGCCATATCTATAAAAACACACTAATGATATAGGTTGGCTAGATATGCTGCTTCCTGTATTGAATACCATTTCAGAATCATTTCAGACCCTTTCCTTTGGACAGTTTTCCCCAGTGCATTCCTGCTCCTCCGCTTTTACTGCTGCCTTTGAAGGCGCTAATTAGCCACGTTGGCTGATTGTGTGTTGGTAATGGCTTTTTGGGCCTTTTTGGCCGTTTTGTTTTCGGACAAACGGAATTGCTGCCACTCGGCATTCGGCACTCTGCACTCCGCACTCAGCAAAGGTGTGAAGAGTGCCAAGGAAAGTGGTAACTAACTGAAGGAGGGTTTAGGCCAAGTCATGATGGACACCTGGAAGCGGTCCGCAGCACAGAGATTGGATTGCAGACGCAGATGAGCAATGATCATGGGGATTTCTCGGCTTTATTAGCGCTAATGCCGTGAGTTCTGGTTAGGAGAGATTATTTAGCCTTAGACCCAACCGAAGAGGCTCTAAGTTCTACCAGTTATGGCTTAAGGCCAGATTTGAGTTGTAATAAATCAAAGCTACATACGCCCAATGTTTTAATATTTGTCCGGTGGTACCATAGGAGGTATTTTACTATTTAAAACTATTAAATTTAGTACCATTTAGTACCACTAAAGTATGATTGTTTTAAATTCTAGAAATGATTGCTATAGGCCATACCAGTAAAAGTAGGCAATCAGGCTTCCTCAAGTTTAATGATCTAATTCTGAGCAGATTGATTTTTTTTCTGAATGAATGCTCACAGTTCTTAGATGATCCTCTAATTATGTAATCACATGTTCCCTGAGGAATTCCCGTGGCAATAGATAATAACACAATCCGCTTCCCAGCCCATAAAATTCAGACATCTAATACACCGCCCCTGAAACCCTACCCAACCGAAAAATAAAGGGAATCCATCATAATATCTCCTCATTCTACGTCATTTGGTTAAACCATTCCTCTTGGGACTTTTTCGACCTCTCCACTTCTCCCGTTGGCGATCAACAGCTTCCGGTTATAATGATCAAACGGGGCGGGATCCATTGACGACTTTTGGCCGGTGTTTCGATGTTTTTGGTTGTTTCTTTTTTTTTTTGAGCTCTCGTAAAAGGCACGAATCTAGTTGGAACAATCAATTTCCCATTGGAAGAAAGCTAACGGGTTAATGGCCATCTGTGGGCCATATCGGCGCCTGCATCTCGAACCAAATAGACGAGCCAATGATAAAAAGTAATTAACAAGGAATGAAGTTAAATCAGGCAGCGGTCTAAAATCAACAAAAGATTATTCAGTGAAAGGTTATCCGCCGACTATACGGGTCAAAATTATATAGCTGGGAGTAAAAGTAAGAGATATAATGGGAAAATATAGGTCAGTTGGGAGTGATTAATTGGCGAAATTGTCTTTATTTGAAATTAAAAATTTTCCTATAAAAAAACAATCTTTAAAAACTAGAAAAAAACGTATAATGTAAGTATTGATGCCCTATTAGTTTGGCCTCCGCTGTATGTTTGTTAAGATCAGCTGATAGACCGAAAAAAATAGCAAAAATATACTGAAAAGCCTCTGAAAATATTTAGATCATGTCCAGAATTTTTCAATAAATGGCGCGAAAACTGGAAAATGTGATGGTCAAAGGCGGTTCACAACCAGAAAGCTGGCAATTTACGATAATCGAAAATGCATCAGCCAGAACCAGAAGATCTGGAAGATGTGGCAGCTGAAGCTCAAGAATTTCTGGGGGATGGCGCCCAAAATCCAGTGAGCGAGACAGTTGACACAACGGTGCTTTTCCATATGCACACATGTTTGCTAATGTTTGTCGGAAGAAAGGGGGGCGGTGGCAAAATAAGCGGAACTCAAAAAGCGCATCGAGCAATTCTTCTATGCTTCTTATCCCAAGAGATCATCATAAATTTCTAACCAAGTTTGTCATACTAATAAAAAAGAGGTCTATAAATCAAATGTTCCTGATATTGTAATGATAGTTTAGAAATTTTAAGTTATAAGAACTTCATCGCCTACATAATTAAAATAAACTTATTTCTGTATGAATTAAATTTACTATCTATTGCTTATAAAGCGTATACCCCATATCGTTTTGACAAAAGTTCCAAGCTCTTACTTGTCTCAATTTAAGTGATTTCTTTACGCTTTTGCGACGGCTTCTGTGGCTGCTTCTTCATCTCATTCCTGTTCTTGAATTCTTACGACTTTGCTCTGCTCTGCAATTCGTTCCAATCTTAATTACGGTTGCCACTGCAACTGTTGCAACCGCAGCAAACTGCAACTGCATCTCCACACCTCGGTGAAAAGCAATTCATTTTGCTGTTATGTCAAGCTTTGCTCACACCCGATTCCGCACATAAAGAAAATTGGATCAATTTCAAATGAAAATCTGCCTTCAAAGCAGTTTCATTATCTAATATTAGTTTTGGAAGAATTCAATACCACTGAGTAAAGTCTTTTCGACAAACAAAGCGGAACTAAATTCGGTTTTTGGATTTCTTCCTTGAGGATTCGTAAACTATTCCTTGCCACTCTATAAAGATTCTTCTGAAGTTAATTAAGAACCCAATCGATCATCATTTAATATCATTTTTTTTGCGTGCAAAGCCCGATTTTGATACCGATTGATGTTGCTCTAATGAATTATGATTGCCATTGCAGCTGCACTCGAAGAGAGAAGGAGCAGTTCTCTGTTAGCCAACTCTTCGCGCTCTCTGTTAGCCATTTGCTGTTGGCCAAATGTTAGGCAACAACAGCATGGCAATGACCTGAGTGCGTGGAGCGACTTTGGCTTGCTCATTGCTCACTGTTCACTCAATGCTACACAGAAAGAAAAACTAATATGCCAAGATAATTACATCATATGTGCATATTGGCATGGAAGGAATATAAATCCCTTGAGATGGTATGAAAACATTTTGTAAAGTATTCTTTAGGTTCTCAAGAAGGGTTCTTAGAAGTCGTCTTTAAAAATAACTAAAATATAATAACTTATTTGTCTGAGTGCACTTACTACTCACTAACCCCGCCGCGACTTAGTTTAATGTTTATTTTCTTGGTTTCTCGCTTCCCCTAGTTGCCCCCATCGCCGCCCCTGCCCATCCCCCTCTGGCACTGGCGACCGTTAATGTATAATGCAAATATGTGTTTCACATCGTCATTTCTCTTGGCCCCCCACCTCTCGGAATCCCCCTTTCACCGAGCCAGTTCAAATAAAGTGCCGCTTGGTTCCGTTCCATTCCGTTCCGCACTTTTGCCGGGCGATCAAAATTTGTCCATTACGACCCTGTTTTAATGGCCATGCTATGGCTTACTATACTTCATCGTGGGGAATATAATATATCTCTGTGAGTGTATCAGGTGGCATTGCCAGAAATAACGCCCTGGGTGGCTGGAATAACAGCTTTATTACCACTATTGTACGCATTGGGCAGATAAAAACTTTCCAATCGCAAGAAGCTGCTCATTTGAAGGACTTTCGTTTTATTATCCCTGCCTTGGGGGAAACTTTTTTCTTTTTAAATATTAATAGATACATGATTAGTAAGGATCAGCAATGTCAAGTTGGGTTATACTAACTAACTTTAAGTTGTTATTAGACCGTAATGTTAAATATTTATGTAATGGTTCAAATATGAACATTTCCTTGACGTTCAAATATGGCATGCAAAGCAACCTCGAAGTAGTGATCTAATAGAAACATAAGGTCGTAACCTTGTTAAATATGTCCAGTTAATGATAAGGACCATTTTCTTATTTATTTTTATTTTTACGAACATATTTACAATATTATACATCATATATTATTCGTCTGAATTTTGAGATACTTTTAAAACGCTTGATTCTTCGGAAACTGCAATAAAACAACATCGTCCTTTGTACCACTGTACATGCAAATGGTTGTAACTCTGTTAACAGGTGCCGTTGCAAAAGAAGAAGGTCGCTCTGCGCTCTCGCTCTCTCACTCTCTCTGTCTCTCTTTCAAGTTCAATGCTATGAACTTTACAAGAAAGAGAGGGAGAGAGCGGCCTCGGAAGAGAGTTGTAATCTTGAAGAGCGTTCTCTCAGTGAGCTCTCTCACTTTTTTTACACTTAGAAAAAGTTTGTTGATAGTCAGACTTTTCATAATAGAAACATGTAGACAAAAAGATAGATCTCCCAAAAAAAATATTTGAATTGTTGTTTTGAAGAAGTCCAAATAGTTTTAAAAATTGTTAAATATACACTTCAATAAATATAATTATTTGAACATTTCTTCAAGATAAATTATTTTCGATTGGTTATTCTTCAAATCATTTTCATATCCTTTAATTTCAAAAGATTTCTTCGTGTGTTTTTTATGGGATTGTCTATCGCTTAAAATTCCCCTCGGAAGCTATACATTTTAAAAGACCGGCTGTTTTGTACTGATCAAAACACTCGTCCTATTTCCGAAAGTTGAGAATAAATTTCTTTAGGTGTACGATCGCTGGACCGTGTGAGTGCGCCCTGTATGTGTGCGTGTGCGGTGGAAATGGGGCTTGCTGCTGCTTTCTCTGTCCGTTCTTCGCCGCTCTCCGGGTTTCGGATTCGTATTGGGGTTCGGGCTTGGGTCTGGGCTTGGATGGTTCTTCTTCTTGGACGGATCGGACCGCTGGGAAAGGCATAAAAGTGGCGCTCGACCGCCAACAGCAGCCATTGCGCGTGATGCAATTGAAGTGCTAACACCTCGTACCGCTCGAGTTTCCAGCCAGCAGTGGATCGCCAATCACCAAAATCATCTTCACCAGCGGAGTCATCAGCAGCGTGGACACATTCTGTACTTCTTCTTTTTTTTTTTGGTTCAATCGCGTGTGTGAAAAATCCCACTCCTTGCGGCTGCGATTTTGGCAAGTGAACACAACCACAAGTGAACAGCCACCGAAAATCACCATCAATACAAAACACAAACTGTGAAAGTGCAAAAACACACTGAAAAACACTCGCTAAAGGATTAACGCAAAAAGCCACGGAACTTGTGCAATATTAACTAAGCAGAAGGTAAGACCACGACGGAAAACCCAAAAAAACTCAAAAGTGATTTTTTTTACATTTTTTTGTTTCAAAACCAAAGTGGATAACAAGATTTTTAAAGTTGTGAGCTCAAGGATTATGTACCAAAGTCGAAAATAATAAGCCATAAAAGGACCTAAAATATGAAATGAAAATAAAAACAAAATTAAAAGAAATAATCTCTTTGGTTAAACGTAAAAGAAAGAAGTTTTAAAATCAAAATTTAAGTTTGAATATTAAATTAGAAGGATTTCTAACAAAAAGTTTCTTTACTTTGAAATATTAGTTTCTTATATTCATAATACAATCTGCTAATATAAAAATAGTTTTCCTAAACTTATAGGCCCAAACATCCGTCTATAGTCAGTTCCAAAAACTTTAAATTACAAATATATCTCCTTAAATATCTACACCCAAAGCAAAGAAACAATTTCAGAAAATTCCATTTAAAAAATGCGTGTGCTTCTTCGCCCATTCTATTGCACCTCTTCTTTTCCTTTTTTTTATTTCGTTTCCATTACGATCATGATTGCCTCCTTTCTCGTCGTCAAAAGTGACACCTTTCGGAGTGAGTAGGTTTCTGTGCAGGAGGTCTCTTCTTTGCTTTTTTAAACTGCTATTTGCCCGGCCAATTGTCACCTGCTCAAAAATGCCCCTTTCGTGCACCTTTTTACGCCTTTTTCCCCCGCAACGTCATTGAAAACGAAAGACTTAGGCAACGAACTTGAAAAGGAAAGACTCAGGCGGCAAACTCGAAATTTCCTTGAAAGTCCGTGGCACATTGTTCATGTGCATGACCAATGAGGGATGCGTTTGCAGAGCTTGCAACATTTTCAATTTCATTGGAAAACGCCAGAGTTCGGAGTGATGCCCATTTTGACCCAATTTCGTGAAAAATTTGATTATCAACTCACTTACAATTTTTTTTTTTAAAGGGTTTGTTTTACAAAAAAGTCTTTTAGAATATGAAAATGAAAAGTTGCACTTGGCGGTTAGCCCCCTATGCTCTTTTCTCGCTGTTTGGCTGTTGGCTGTTTCAGTTTTCTGCTAAAGTCATTAACGCAATTAACCGTTATTACCCAGCGGTATGGTCACCCAATTCATTAGGAAAGCATTTAGTGGCCAGTGTTCTTGTGCGTGTGCGCAGAAAAACTAAAGCAACGGTCCCGAGAGCATGAGAAACGCATTAAAAAAACCACCGCCGCTGAAGAAAAGCAGTAGCAGAAGAACATTGCGGTTGGAAATGTGAAGAAACAGTGAGGGACAGAGAGGGAGAGATATAGGCAGAGCTACCGGGGACAACACGAAAACCGAACCCAACCCAACCCCATTTTTAGGGGGGCCCCCAGATGTGGTGTGGTGTCTGGCGTTTGGTTTAATGGGTTTCCCAGTAGCAAAACGAACTCGGTTCGAATGAAAACTTTATTGTTTTCAGCACCCCGGAAATAATGTAATAATCTTGCATTAAAACGACCTCGGCCCAAGAGTGCGGGTTATACTTTTATAATCGAATCGTAAAAAGTTACGAAAAAAAGTGAGGCGCAAAGAACATAGAACACAAAGCATACAACACAAAACATGGAACACAGTGAGCCATTAAAGGCAACTTGGGAAATGGAACCTGGAACCAGGAACCTGCAGGCGGAAAACTTCTGCACTTCGGGAAAGAAAAGCGGCAAACAAAGAACCGAAATGAAATGCCGACCCCAAGGGGCAGGCATTAGCATCCCAACATCAATTAATGTCTTGCCGCGATGCAAATCAACGACAGAGCCATTAAACCAGCCTCGCAATCCATCAATTGAGGCAGAAAATGAAAAAATAAAAAAAAAATGGAGAAAAACTAGACAAATAAGATCGCATTTTCTCCTCATTAAAGACGGATTTCCACTTTAAACTCTCAACTTACTCGGCACATTTCTCTTTTCCAATGCGTGTTCAAAGTTGACCCAAAAACAGAAGAAACAAAAGCAAAGGAAAAACAGAACACAAAAGTAAAGATTTAATGCTAAACGCGAACGTACGTTTTTGGCCCAGTTTAAGCCAAAAGCGGAAATTGGTTGCGGGCGGCCGACTAATTTGAAATTCCAAATGAAACGAATGAATTCGGTCTGATTGAGATGAGTCGGGAAAAGCGCCCTCTGGCGGTCACTCCATCTGGCCGTTCTTCTCCCGTTTCTTCGTCTTTCTTCTCATTGTTCGAGATCCCCTTTCTTCGGTCGGTTAAAATCTGGCACATCAAAACACAAAAATCAACGGACTTTGGAAATTTTCAAGGGGGAAATTAAAGTTGGTTTTTATTAAGACAGCGCCCTCTGGCGGTGGCTGCAGCTGCAGCTGCTCTTTTGCTTCCTCTTTCTTCAATATGTATTGAAACTGTCTTAAATGGATATTAAATTCTTTAATAATAACGTTATATATTATCTTTCTAATCTAACAGATAAATTATAGATTTACAGACTGCGTAACTTCTTTATAGGGGTTCCCTGCTTTAATGCGTTGGTATACATTGATTGGAATAATGATTCCTTATATAATGTTTGGACTTTCTATCCTGATCTTCCTTTGATCTTTACTTTAATACCGTGTTGAGAGCATTTGACTGACGTTTGATTACCTAATGAACAGCACTCTTCGTGTTCTCAGCCTCCCCTCATTAGCATCTCCGATTTCATTAGCTTCCCGCTTTGGTGGCCTTCTTTTTGGCTTGTGCCGCTTGGCTTGGCACAGATTCTCCTCTCCTCCCCAGTATTCTTTCATTCTTTTTGGGTTGCCTATGTGGGTCAGCTCGGATTCGGATTCGGAGTCGGATTCAATTGGTGGCACCTGTTCGGGCCAGACGCATGACAACACACAATTGGAGTTGGAGATTTGCCAGGCGAATGAGCAGAGCTCTCCCACTCACTTGCCACTTGGGATTTCGAGGGTCTGTTGAAGAATGGTGCGGCGATACAAGACCGAGTGATGGGTGATGAGCAACGAGTGGCGAGTGAGGATCACATGAGTGACGAGTGATGATTGAAGTGGGTTCTGAAGAGATGGGCTCATGGGTACTCAGGCTGGCTCAAAGTCAGCGAAAGAGTTTGTCTAAAAGGCAAAGAGATGTTTTCTTGATTATAGCTCAAAGGATTACATTCATTGCTTCATTCTGCATACAAGAGGTTAGAATTCTGGTAAAAGTAGAGAGCATTTAAATATAATATATAGGGAGAAATGAGTTGAAATGATTGCAAACCTATATACCCATAAATGGTATTCTTAGAAATCACATTAACAATTATATCCATATGCAGAAAACAGAGTTATGAATAGTAACCAAAAGTAGAACATAACCATAGGATACTATGATTAGAGTGCCAAAATAACACAGACAGACTCTCCAAAACCAACTGGCCTTGAAGCGAAAGACATGAAATTGCAGGAAAGTGGCTCTTTGGGATCGTCTTTCTTCTTTTCTCGTTTTTATTTTGGCAATAAAACGAAAACTGTTCCAAATCGAATTTGCTTCGTCGTTTGGCCATGGTAATTACACCAAATATAAGCCAGATCATCATCGTGATGGGGTAGATTCTTCTTCTTCGGCCATCGTGATGATGATGACGATGATCTGCCACTTGTGTTGTCGTTCCAGCTGAAATCTTTTCGTTTTCTTTTGACGGAAACAAAACGAAAACACAGTGTTATAAATGCTATCAAACGAAAAAAAAAAGCATCAAAGATCTCGCTTGAGGAATCTGTGCTATTCCAACGGTTGTTTTGTTTACAGCCCCGACTTCCCAGCCCAACTTCCCCCCATATTTGGTATTATAAGCCATATTAAAACGAAATGCTTCTTAGTTATGACTTATATAGCTGGTTCTTGGCGGCGCAGAGAAAGAGGAAGGAAATGTGGGCCAAAGTTGTGTTCGGTGTTCGGATCTCTGTTTTTGGCTTTGGTTTCGGTATTTGGGATTCGGTATATTGGCTTATGGTTTCTTGTGCTTTTTTTGTTGTTGTCATAGCACAATGACGCTGCCATAGATGTGGACCCAAACTTTCGTTCCCAATTAGGCCATAAAATTATTCTATGGAATATGAGGCCGATAGCAGTAAACGCTAAATGAATGCTCTTAAATGATAAAGTGAATGAATGAATGGAATGAACGGCCCGGTTCCAAACGAATGCAAATCCAACTGCCGGCTAATTTGAATAGCTGATTGTTCCGGAGCAAAGCGAATCACTTATGCCGATTGAGTTGTAATAAATTACTCACAAAGTGAATCCCCCTGCATACATGCATAAGGACAATTAAATTCTGATTATAGAATATCACTTTTCTGATTACACTTTTTTTGGGAATAATAAAATAGAAATCAGGCAATAAAGTTTTAAGGTTGTAGGGACTTAAGGGTCTTAATAATACCTGATAAAATCCTAACCAGTTTATGATTTACAACAGAATACCTTCTGAATGGAATTTTGTATGTTTTCTCCTTAAATAAGAATGAACACTCATTTTATGGAGGTTAAAGTCGGTAATTTGCGAATGAATCATTCAATCAAACATTGATGAATGGGTTTCATTCATTGAACAAATATTGTCTTCCAAATCACATAAACTAATTTAAGAGAAAGCAGAAACCAACTTCAAGAACATTTGGCTTGCTTGTTTTATATTTTAACACCTTTGTATTTATAAAATAATTACCTCCGACAAGCAGACAAAAGAAATTTCACAAATTACGAATGCTTACAATTTCCCTACATTTTAAATTAGCATATTTTCTTCAGAACAAAAAAAAAGCTTTTGAAAAGGAAGGCATTTTATGCATTTATAACTTTCACAAGCTTATCTACGTAAAGCACGAAATGCCCAGGTCATAATTACAGCCAATTAAAGCCGTCTGTTCTTCCTTTCCTTTTTTTGGTTAAACTCGGTGTAAATTACCAAAAAATTCAAATTTAAATTTAAATTGATTGATGGGGCGCTGAAAGAAAGGTCTTCTTCCCAGCAGAAAGCAGAAAAACTAACCGGTGAACGTGTGAAAGTGTTCCCATTTCATTTTCTTAGGGTCCGTGACCAGTGTCAATTTCAAGTTCTCGTTTCGACACATTCCAAATGTTTTTTCTTGAGTTTTTTATATATTTTGTTTATGTTCTTTTTTTTTGGTTTTTCGTTTTTTGGTGCACTTGACGTGCTTGGGGAAAACGAGTTGGCCAAGACATGAGCTTTTCTTGGGTGCGTGAGTGCCGCCCATTAGGTTCATACACCTCGTTGTTCTCGGTTATGTGTGCTCTATTCCCTGGCTCAGGTGGGCTGGACTGGGGTTCACTGTACCTAGTACTTGGTACTCGGTACTCGGACTTTAATGAGTACACAACAAAGAAAAGGGCTAATTACGAACGTCATGCGTATGCAAATGGCAATTGGAGGAGGGCTGGGCGGTGGAAAGTGTGTTTTTGGAGTGTGCGAATGTTCTTTCTCTTGGTATTACCATCTTTCAACTCCCCCAGATTTTTCAAATCCAGAGCAAATCCAGCCAGGCGTTGCACTTCACATTTGCATAGCATTAGCAATGGCAATAGCCATTTCATTTGAATGGAGAATGATTATTTATTTCTTCGCTTTCCCTAGCCGCATTTGGTCGCGTTTGTGTCTTGAGTCTTTTGTTTTATGGGGGCTCTCGGTGGTGGAGACTTGCAATTCGGTCAAGTAATCATTTATTCTCCGCCTTAATTGCCGGCATGTTGCGCCGCTCACCGCTCACTGTTGTTTTAATTACTCAGCATGTTGCATGCAAATCTCGTTGTTGCAGGAAAATGAAAAAAAAAGATAGAAAATAAAGAACGCTCAACCCGAGCGACTTTAACCCACAAAAATGGGTGTGGCAGCCATATAGTCGCGGTGCTATATAGTTAGGGGGGCCTGTGTATATCAATATGCCATTAGCTTTTGCTGGCGGGGTAAAAGCCGTGTATCTTTGTATCTGTGTATCTACCTACTAGTAGTTACCGTTACGCAGCAAGAAGATGCCACAGAAAACATGTTTTCAAAGAACCAGAATCGGAGTTTCGGCATCTGAATGGTAACTGAAAACAGAGGCGCGCTCGCCGCCTCAAATGGAATTTTCATTTTTCAACTTTTGCCATCGTAAAAGGCCAATATATATATATATATATGTAACCCCCTCTCAGAAAGTGGCTTAAATTAAACGGAACGAGAGGAGAAAATAACAAAAGAAGAAGAAGCCGCGCTGCAGCAGCCGCACAGATCGATTGGAAACTCGTTTTCAACATCATTTGACTGGAAAGTGCATTTGCTGTTATTAATATATATATATATGGATAGGCAAGAGATACGATGGGGGGGCCAAGATATGTTATAATTAAGTGGCATTGTTTTCAGGTGGAGTGAAGTGGACTACGGTCCGTTAGAGAAAACACTTGGTCGAGTAAAAGATCCCAATCTCAAGACGAACTTGAAGCGTAGAAATGCCGGAATTGGGATCATCTTGAGCTCACTTCACTCGAGATCTTTCAATAACATGTTGAAAGTCGAGTTTTTTTTGTCTTCCCAAAACCCGAAAAGTGAGAAAACAATCTTCCTAATAAATTTGGTGCAGCTTCGATAAGATGATTGAATTAAGCTGGGGTTTTCTATCGGAAAAAATACCTGTGTACTTAAGATGTTTGTGAAAAATGGTCAGCGGAGAAAGTGCTTATCAAGTGGACAAAAAGAGCTGTCAAAATCCTAGAGAAATCGGGTACCACTTCATTTTTTATCTAAGTGAATGAAGTGATTGTTGATCGTTGAACAAGGCCTATCAACAATCATCATATTTCCCTTTAACAAATATCCCTGTAGAATAATAAATTTTAATCAAACCTTATCTAAACAGAAACAAATTCTCTCTTTCTCTTTGCAGCTCAAGCCGCCTAAGCAATCGCAGAAGAATCAGACGAGAAGATTTGAGCAGAAGAAGGTAAGAAGACAAGACGGATGGAAGAAAGACAGGCTGTGGTGGAAACTCTTGTTTTAGGTGGGAGATTGAAGTGAACTCCACTCAACTTGGGCTCGGTTCAACCTGGACTTGTGTATTTTATGTCTTCCGCTGTAATTGCGATCACAAATCAAGGCAGGTGTTGAGTGGATTGGATCGGACAGAAGACCGAAGACAGTAGACAGAAGTTGAGGTTGCGGGAGATGGCAGAAACGGCAGAGAAGAATGGAGAATGGCTTTCCACCCAATCCAATCTAAGTCTAATCATCATTGCGGCCAGGCTCTTTTTTGCCACTATGTTTCTCCGGTTGTCCACTTCTATTTTTAGTTGAGGTGCAGGAGGCAATCGCCCGGCAATTAGTCACTCAGACGAACCTCGTCCATCCATCTGTCCACTTGGCCATCGCATCCATCTATCCATCTCTCCGTCTGCAGCGGCCTTAATGCGCACCCTCGACTCACAATCGTCTTTACAATTATTTAGGTCTGACTTTGCCAAATTTAGGGATGACTGCGTGACACGATCGTTATTGCATACATGGTACATGTTTTTATAGAGGTTTTTTAAAAACCTTTTTTTTAAGCACGAATAGAGCTGTTAGTTGTGTCAGGGCCAAACATATTTTTGTTTAACTGGGTGCATGTCATAAGGCCCTTTCTCATTAGATACACGGGCTTTATGACACTCTAGGAAGTGTCATAACACCCACTCAGAAGTCTCATTGTGCCAACTTCCAAATGTTTGTTAGGTGCATTTAAAATAAAGTAATGTTTATAATTAAAATGTATGAGTTCTAAAAGCGTCCTTATTTAAATTATAAGGCCATAGGCGTTATGACACTGGGCGTTATGACATGCACCCTTTTAATTATGGAGCTAACATGCTTTCTATAGGTATAGTATAGGTATTTTAAGGAACCTCTACAATCTCAATTCTACTTTAGAACCTCGTGAGTGACTCGCTTTCCCATCTCCAGCAGCCATAAATTGTCCAGTGGCGGCTTAGTGTAACTAATTGACGATCAACGCAAAACGCTTTGGCGGCATTCTACCGCCCAGCCACCAATTCTTCGCCTCCCGTTTTCCGCCCCCCTGGTGACATTGAGTAATGCCCGAAGGAGAAGGGAATTGGTGGTGCAGTGGCTCAGTGGTGCAGAGGTGCGGTGGCTCAGTGCTTCCAGGTTCAGGTTCAGTGCAGCTCGCTTTGATTTGTTTGAGCCGCCTTGACGACTCTTCGACAATTAAGTTGGCCACTTGGCTTACTGCTGACAAAACGAAAATAAATGGTAGAATTTGAAAAAGAGAACAAAAGACTGGAGCGTGTACACAGAACAAAAAAAATCTAGACAATATTCAAGTAAAATGCTGGCTTCGCAGTCCCTGTTTGGGCGCCAGTTATTCAGATATTATATAATATGTTATTTTCTTGCTTAACTTTAAAGGACTATCTCTTCTTATATAAATTCCTTTAAAATGTTTAATTTAAATCTTGAAAATATAAAATCTACATAATAGTTTTTTGTGTAGAAGGCCAGAGTCGCCTGTCCCTCAAAGTTATTATCTGGATGTGGATGCTGTTTGGAAAGGTGATGTGGATGCCAAGATGCGTTTCAGTTGGAGAGCCGCACCTTTTGCAGTCGCCTGTCATTGCAATTAATTTTGTCTTTGTCTATTCTTAATTCGCTTCTTCTCTGGGCTTGTCCGGGGTCTCGGTCCTCTATAGTGGGCCTTATAGCTTATCGGTCTTTTTTTTCTGAGGGCGTTACCACAAGTTCTCACATGCCTGGGCGATAATCGATAGTTAGCGATGAATCTCTGTCGCGGCCTCGCCAAAGTTTTCGGTCATTGTCCATGCACTAATTAAGTTATGCACTTGGGCTTTTTTTTCGCCCATCCACTCTTTTTTCTTCTTCTTCCTTAGCTATGAGGAAGTCTTGGTCTTTGGATGTATCTATCGCTTGTATCTAGAGAATGCCTTGGACTAAAACTGAAAGCCGTGGAACTTGGAGACTCAACCACAGAGCTTATCAAGCCATGGGCATCTGAGTTTGGGGCTTTTCTGCGGTTTCTTTGGTTCTCCCCTCCAAACTCCGCCTGCTTTCCTTATCCATTTCTCTGGTGGCGAGCGGAAGTTCTGTTTTCCACACAAAAATCTGAAAAGTTTCTGTTGCTATTTGCTATTGCTCTCAGGCGAAATCATAAATCTTTCATTATGGTCAGTTTAATCGGAATCAAATTTCAAATTGCTTGCACCAAAGTACAGTGGTAAAAGCGGTTTGGAGAGATATACACTGCAAGTTAAATTGGGTAAACAGTGTGAGTGGGAAGATAGAAGAATCGTAGAATCCGTAGAAATCGTTCCATAAATAAGTAGGTATCGAATATCATCCCCTCCCAGCAATAACGTTTGTATGACCCCTAAGTGGATATCGATTAATTCAGTGTACCATTATTCTATAGATTTCTGTACCAGTTTCAGTTCTTCTGTTCTGTTCTTTATTATTCTCTGCCTATATTTTCTTTTTACCTTTTCAATTACATTTATCGATTGCCTGCCCTGCTGGTAATCACTTTTTATTCAGCAATCAAGTGGCAATTGTTAATTTATTGTTTGTGGGCAGCCAAGAGCGTTTTGTATTGATTCAGCTTGCCAATTATTGTGTAAATAAATTCCAAATTGCGTGCGGCAGTAACGGCGGCCACAAAAGTGTGCTCTTCATGAACTGGCCAATGGCAAATGGCAAAAGCGAAGTTGCCGCCACAGCCGTTGCCAAAGGCCATTCACATACATTTTTGTACTTTATGGGCAATTTCGAGAGCCAGAGAGGCACAGAGTCAAGGAAAAGAAGTCAAGAAGAAATAACCAGGCCCGGGCGAAGGAAAAAGACGGAGAAATATGGAAGAAAAGGCTGAAGAACAAGCTGAGTAACGGCAGCAATATTGGCTCAGGCTGAGGGGGCAACAAAGCCAGGCATTGTGCACTACAAATTGTCACACAGTGTTCCAGCTTGTTTTCAAAACCCCCCTCTTCTAAGATCTAAGATCTATCCAGCCCCCCTAACCATCCAAAAAAAAAAACCTCAATGAGATAAGCTCTGCCTAATACGGACAACAGCAACATCAACAGCACAGCAGCAACATCACAGCACAGCAGCAACATAGCAACATCTATAGAAAAACAAGCAGCTGAGCATGAAAGTAAAAGATGCCGGAGAAAGAAAGAAAGAAAGGGGAGAAATCTGTTGATGGGGCGCTGATAAGACAAGATTATGAGAACGATTTTTGATTTACGGGGGCCCAAAGCACCCATAGTCTCTTGTACAGTTTCACTTTGAACAAGGAAAACACTGGGCTTACAAGACAGACTTAGGGTAAGGTTATAAATCAAATAAGAACCGCTCATTTTGGAAGAAGAAAAGAACAATGATCTCTATAATAGCTAAAAATTAAAACTGCTATACCTTAAACTAAGATCCAAAAATGTTCTTTGTAAGGAAGTTTTAAGAACCTAATACACGAGTAGTAAACATTTTGAAATATTATGGCACGCAACATCTAATAATGGAAAACCCAACAGAATCTCCAGAAATATTCTTCATTTTTTCAAAAGAAAGAGTCGTTTGGCGGCAGAACAGAAGCAACGGTGGCTGGCAGCTTTCATTTGTTTGCTCAGTTTATGAAACCGAGCTGTGTGGTGAAGGTTTGTTTGGGGTTTGGGGTCTAGTGTACTGTATTCTCCATCTTGTGTGGACTGCCAACTTCATCTTCGTTCGGCAGCAGAAGAATCTTTGACTGACTGACAGGCGGATGGGGGCCAAAAGACAAAGATCCAGACGGGAGACATTCGATTAGCATTAAAGCCAAGCAAAGAAAACCAAAGCGAATCGCATCGGGAATAGAGCCAGAGCCCAGAGGATCCGCCAAGGAATTGGGAATAGGATAGGAATACGAATAGGATGGGGACTAGCGCGCGGACTTATGCAATTTCAGTTACTTAGGGCCCATCAGTCAATCAGCCCGACTGTCTGTCATCACTCTTTTTCCACTCTTCTCGATGGCATCGGCATGGGTTGGTTTCCTCTTCACCGTCCCCAACTTAAGTCCAGATTTTCCACGGACTTGGCGTTAGTCAAATAGGGTTGACAGTCTGTTTGGTTCTTGTTTAATTGCCGAAAAAAATAAAAGAAAAAATGCAGAGCCACCAGAGCCGGGACCATCCATCCATCCGCTCAAGCTGTCTTTCTCCGTGACCCATTTCGTGGCCAGATTTCTGTCCAGCGATTACCGGGAATTCAATCCAAGTTTCGGCCCGGGATCTCAGATAGTGAGCCAAAAGCTCTTCAAGGGAAGCTAACTGGCAGAGGTACTCAGAAAAATATATCAAAAAGGCATAGAAATATATAAATAAAATCTATGGTTATCTGAATAAAAAAATTCAAATTTTGCTTAGAGGGCTGACTATCTGATTGTATACAAATATTTTGGATTTCAAATTTTGTGTGGATTTAAAAACTGTGATATTCTAGAGGAATTACATTTTGTAGAATAAATTAGGAACAGGAAATACTGCAAAAAACAAAGGACGCTCAATAGTTCAGCTTTAATCCCCTTCAGTCGAGCCAAATTTAGCAATTTAGCCATAAACGAGCGACCAAATTGCCAACTGGGAGTCTCATTAAAGGAAAAAAATCACTCCGGATGGCCGAAGCGAGGGGCTTCATTAAATATGAGAAATAATTGCAATTATTGAATATTTGCTGAGCTCAGCGGTCGCTTTTTCTCCTGCGATGTTCGATCTTCGATGTTCGGTCTCCGATCTTCGATCTCCGGTCCTCGGTCTTTGGTCTCCGAAAAGGGGCCGTCGAAATCCCCAAATGCGGCTAAAGGACATCATCATCTTTTGAGGCGGCATCGCCATCTATGGAGCTGCCCACGCTCGGCTGGCTTAGCCCCTCCAGAAACAGAAACAGAAACCGACATCT